TAAGTAGCAACTCTCCAGTAAGAGGACACCTCTCCCTAAAAGACACTTTGGCTCTGAAATTAGGTGCCTTTACAAGGAGGTTCTACTGTATTAGTCCATTATAAGAGTCAAATGAGTCGTACTATATATCTGAACTAAGTAAAGAAAGAAACCACCAGTTGAATCCCTATGAATTGATCCTCTTGGAGAAGCCTGAAGTCATATGTATGAAATCCCGCTTATTTTGATCATTCATATTTATTTGAATTTTTGAAGATACACTTTTTTATTATTTCTTTTGGCACATTTTTGTATTTTGGCATACGTTATGGACGTTTTCCAGAAGGATGTCAAAAACAACAACGAATTTTGATTTACTTTTTGTTGTTGTTTGGTCAAGACGAGATTATTTGGTTAAGTTACCATTATTGGTACACTAAACATCGCTATTCCCGTTTTAAAAAAAAATGAATTATTTTGTCGTTGCCGTCTAGATTGGTGGAAATTTTCTTGTCTCTGTATATATATAGAGTGACAACCTCGTTGACATTTGTCACTGGACCTCTGCATGAGGTACGTGACATTGTCCTGTCGCTCCGCGGTATCTGACTTCCCGCTTCCTCCCGCCACACCGTACATCAGGACGCCATCTCTTCATATTATTACTGTGGGAGACATTATGGAAAAAGATGGGTAGCCCTCCCCACTTGTCAAGAATGGAATGGGACCCATAACATACCCATACGTTCGTATGGGTTTCCAACAATAAACAATGTATTCATTACCTCTCATATGGATTTCCAGCAATTTTAATGCTATCATCACGTCTCGTATGGGTTTCCAACAATAAAATGTTGCTCTCATTACCTATCGTATGAATTTCCAACAATGACTAATGCCCCCATCACCTTTCGTAAGGGTTTCCAACAATGCCAATGCCATCATCACCTCTCGTATGGATTTCCAACAATTACCAATGCCATCATAACCTCTCGTATGAATTTCCAACAATTACTAATGCTATCATCACCTCTCGTATGGGTTTCCAACAATGTCATCATCACCTCTCGTATGGGTTTCCAACAAACACCAATGCCATCATCACCTCTCGTATGGGTTTCCAAAAATTACCAATGCCATCATCACCTCTCGTATGGGTTTCCAACAATGACTAATGCGATAATCACCTCTCGTATGGGTTTCCAACAATTACCAATGCCATCATCACCTCTCGTATTAATTTCCAACAATGTTCAATGCCATCATCACCTCTCGTATGGGTTTCCAACATTGACCAATGCCATCATCACCTCTCGTAAGAATTTCCAACAATGACTAATGCCCTCATCACCTTTCAAATGGGTTTCCAACAATTAATGAAGTCATCATCACGTCTCGTATGGGTTTCCAACAATGACCAATGCCATCATCACTTCTCGTATGGATTTCCAACAATGACCAATGCCATCATCACGTCTCGCATGGATTTCCAACAATGACCAATGCCATCATCACGTCTCGCATGGATTTCCAACAATGACCAATACCATCATCACCCTCGTATGGATTTCCAACAATGCCAATGCCATAATCACGTCTCGTATGGGTTTCCAAAAATTAATGATATCATCATCACCACTTTCCAACCAACCATCTTATGTCTGTTCCAGTGTGTGTGGCGGTTGCCACGAAGAACGTCAAGTCAGCCAAGGGCAACCTCTTCCTGTGGATGTCTCTCTTCCAGGGCTGGGGCATCATGCTTGCCGTCTTCAGCATGGCCTGGTATTGTCATCTCAACTGCGGCGGTCCTCTACAGGTACATTCTACTCTGACACTTTGCGTTTTCCACAAGAACAACTTATATCTCGATTCTAGACTTGTGACAAAAGACATAACTTCCTTGTTCAAATCCGGTCTTCGAACTTAACACCTCCGCCTTGTATTCGTAAATCAATGAAACAATGGGTTTCTATAACTACTTAAAAGGGGATCGATGAAAGGATGGTCTAAACAGTTGGTTTTCGACCGCTAAGACCCGGGTTCGACTCCAGCATTGGGCACTTTTTTTCTGATAAAAAAAAACGCTCCAGTGGCGCCCGATTCTTGCAAAAGTCCAACCCCACCTGTGTAGACATGTGGTGCACTTACAGTAAAAGCAGTCGCCTACTTCTACCCACCATGATTATCATGGCCTGTACCACGTGTACTAGGGATAAGGAAAAATAAAAATAGCTAGTTAAAATGGCAAGCTCATCACAAGGCCAGTGGTTTACAAAGGTAGACAATATAAATAAGTATTAAAGGCAATCTTATACACATATTTGAACATTTTACTGAAAAAAATATGAAGAGTTTATATAAATTAGAGGTTTATATTTAACAAATGTTTCTATATGTTTTATTACACTATAACTCAATCAGAAAACCACTAGAAAACAATGGAAATTAAATCCAACAATGAGAAGTATTGAATAAAACGGAGATCTGAAGAGATCTAGCCGAAAATCCGAAATTAAACGTATTACAGTAGAACCTCCCTTTAGCGGACACCTCTCTACAAAGGACAGTTTTCATTTGCAAAATTATCATTTTTGCTATTTAACAACTCTCCGATAAGAGGATACCTCTCCCTAAAGGACACTTTGGCTCTGCAATTAGGTGTTGTCCTTTACAGGGAGGTTTTACTGTTTTACAATTTGACCCAATCGTGATGTTGTTTATTGTAATGATTCCATATGCAGATTTTATTCTTGGAGAAAAAGTGCAGCATATATGTAAATATGTATTAATTTTCTGATAGAAAATTAATTATGTAAAAATGATTGGATATATATATAGAGTGTAAGAGGAGAGTGAAGGGATCCCATTTTATAGGAATAGATATCTTATTCCGTATAGTGTTCGTCAACTGCTATTTTGTTAGGTAGAGAACACGACAACATGGCGCAGCGCTCCACCTTGGGCACCTGCTTGCCCCTCACCACACAGATCCCCTTGCTATCAAATGGGAAGGTAGAGTAGTAGTCCAGGAATTTGCCCATCAGGGTTTCAAGGTTGTCAGTGTTTGTAGAATTCCATTTGATGTTTTTCTTGAGGATGTTGATGTGGGGGTTGATGTCCAGGTAGGCAATGTCGTAGGGGTTTTGGTCATTGAGGAGAAGGGACAAAGGAGGCACCACTTTCTCCTGCTGCAGGAAGAAGACAGTGAGCATTGTGAGCATGAAGCGGCTGGGGGTATGGGAGGGCCGGGGTCGAGTGATTTGGTTCTCCTTGGCCCAGCAGCGAATGGCAAACACCATGGGCCTCACACGGGGATCCAGCTCAGCCATGGTGTACAGAAGCTCAGACATATACAGTCTAGACAGGTTGGGCAGAGAGAGGTGACACTCGACAGGCAGAGAGCGATGCATAAAGGTCAGGATGGGCACACTGGCCAGGATATAGATGGGCCGTTCAAATGCCGGCACTAGCCGCAAGAGTTCAGCCAACTTTGAGATGATATCTTTGGCATGAGACCACTCAGTCATCTGCTGCCCCAGGTCAATATGGTGCAGGCAGGATTGGCCTTCAGGCCCGGGCAGGTCATAGTTGAGTGACATGGCCATGTCCAGATCAGAAGGCCAATCCTGCCTGCACCATATTGACCTGGGGCAGCAGATGACTGAGTGGTCTCATGCCAAAGATATCATCCCAAAGTTGGCTGAACTCTTGCGGCTAGTGCCGGCATTTGAACGGCCCATCTATATCCTGGCCAGTGTGCCCATCCTGACCTTTATGCATCGCTCTCTGCCTGTCGAGTGTCACCTCTCTCTGCCCAACCTGTCTGGACTGTATATGTCTGAGCTTCTGTACACCATGGCTGAGCTGGATCCCCGCGTGAGGCCCATGGTGTTTGCCATTCGCTGCTGGGCCAAGGAGAATAAATCACTCGACCCCGGCCCTCCCATACCCCCAGCCGCTTCATGCTCACAATGCTCACTGTCTTCTTCCTGCAGCAGGAGAAAGTGGTGCCTCCTTTGTCCCTTCTCCTCAATGACCAAAACCCCCACGACATTGCCTACCTGGACATCAACCCCCACATCAACATCCTCAAGAAAAACATCAAATGGAATTCTACAAACACTGACAACCTTGAAACCCTGATGGGCAAATTCCTGGACTACTACTCTACCTTCCCATTTGATAGCAAGGGGATCTGTGTGGTGAGTGGCAAGCAGGTGCCCAAGGTGGAGCGCTGCGCCATGTTGTCGTGTTCTCTACCTAACAAAATAGCAGTTGACGAACACTATACCGAATAAGATATCTATTCCTATAAAATGGGATCCCTTCACTCTCCTCTTACACTCTATATATATCCAATCATTTTTACATAATTAATTTTCTATCAGAAAATTAATACATATTTACATATATGCTGCACTTTTTCTCCAAGAATAAAATCTGCATATGGAATCATTACATTTATATCGCACACCCTGGCCAATCAGAAGCGGTGTTTGGAATCAGGCCAAATCTCGTCGTAAATCCTGAATTAAATTATAAGACATCTCTATCCAATACAACAACAACAAAAAGCTTTATTAAGACATTTTAGTCTTATACAGATTCTCCGTGTAGAAATGTAGGGTACATGCAGGAATAACAGCAATAATACCAGTAATAAGCATTGTTATTATAATAATTTTTAAAGCTGATCACATTCAATGATGATATGGAATACAGGAAAACTTAACCAAGACAATCAAGCTGATAAATAGATTAGTCTGGGTAAATTGGAAAAGAAAGGAAATTTCTTATACATGGATTTACCACGAAATCTCTGCAAATGAAAAAAAAAAAAACGTAAAAACTAATTACATTTAATATTAATAGTGACATTTATATATAAGAAAACACCTAATTAAGACAGCTCATAAACAGATTGCTCTGGGTAAATCCGGAAAAAAATATATATATTTCTATCCAATACATCTTGAGGTTGAATCTTTACCTTTTCAGTTGAGAAATATTTTTCCTTCTTTTCCTATGTTCCACGTGGATAGGATACCTGGCTTTCACTCAGGAGGCCCGGGTTCGATACACGGCGTGGGAATTTTTTTGGTCCCTGGTTTCGATCCCGGGTTTCGGGAACTTTTTTTTTTTTTTTTGTTAGTTTACCGTAAAACCATATTCTCTTCTTCATAAGGGGGACACAGGCATTTTAAAATAATGGTATCAGAGGGTCGTTTTGATTGTATACAAGGCTATAACCATGTCGTAAGTAATGTTTGAGCTATGTACTCTGACATTAGATATCTCTGGCTCTTCCCAGCCTACACAAAGAGACCAATGTACCTCGTATCTGCCAGGATCTATGCTGTGAAAGGAGGTTATCTGGTTGTTTACTGGCCTCGCTCAGACATACAAACCCCCTTTAACCTTCTTTTTTGTTCGAATAAACAACTGCCATACGTACCGAGGTTTAGATCTTATTTGACGATTTTAAAAGAATAATCATAGATTTCATTGGTCATTGCTCATTGGAATCTATGATATATTCTTAAAAAATCGTCAAACAAATCGTCATTGTTCCATTTTTTTAAAAGTCTCCCAATAAAAGTTTGGAATAATTGCATTGTCATCGTGAATAAGTAAGTGGAAATGAGGTCTCTCAAATGATCAAGTATATTTTTTAAAATTTCATGACTAAAAATATAAAAATGTGGTTGTAGGAAGGAGATACTTATAGAATAGGAATAGAACTTGGCAAAACATAATATATTGATAATCAGTTTCATATTTTACCTCAAATAGAGCTTGAATATATGATAGAAAGGCATTTATTTTCACACATACACTCATGAACAAAACTTAAGGAAGTTGTACTATTTAGCATGTATATCGGGATTCAGATTATAACTCTGAAAGTTATTTGATACACAGGAACTTTTATTGAAGACGAGATAGCTAATATACACTCATGGGCAAAACTTAAGGAAGTTGTATCTTTTAGCATGTATATCGGGATTCAGACAATAACTCTGAACTATATTACAGTGACCTTTATTGAAGACACACGAGATAACCAATAAACACTAATGAACAAAACTTAAGGACGTTGTTCTATTTAGCATGTATATCATGATTCAGACAATAACTCTTTGAAAGTTATTTGATACACAATGACACCTTTATTAAAGACATACGAGATAACCAAGTGTGAACAGCCTCTGTCTCCTTCAAACAGACAGATGACTGGCGACATTAAGACTTTCCACTTTCTTAAGTTTTGCCCATGAGTGTAGATTGTTATTTGATCTAATTTAGGAATGGTCTCCGATGAATTAGTCCACAAATATCTCTTTCTAGCTTCTCCATTTTAAACGTTTTCTTAACTTCTTCATAATATTATTGACAATATCCTCTATTGGATGTCTTGGTTTCAATGAATTTTTTACGATGTCTACACACATTCTAAAAAACAATTTAAAAATCGAGATTTTGATACATTTCATATTGGTTTTATTTGGGAATTCTTTTTTTAGCCATATTATTTATGCTTTAATGGCCATATAAAAACCTTAAAATTTAAAAATGGCAAAAAAAAAAAAAAAAAACTTCGATAACTGCTTGAAATGCAATAGTGCGGAAGCTTCTCCGGAAAATATCTTATCATGCTCAGAACTGACAATAGAGGACCTATTTTCCAGGCCTATAACTACCATCGCAAAATTGGAGAGGAGTGGACTTCAGGAATTGGTTTAACCATGGAGATAAGCACCACCACGCTTCAATCAATCAATGCAATTATTAAGACCTTTCGTCTTATATACAGATTCTTCTGAGAGAAACAGAAAATAATTAGAAAAAAGAAGGGTAAAATAAATTAGAATATGCAAATTTATATGAGAAATATTTATATCTATCGATTATGATTTTGAGAGATGTAATTTGGAAAAAATATATAGATGCATCAACCAATTTTTTATTTAGTTCCCGAAGTTTCAGTAACTCGCTGTCTCTCTCCTCATGAGAATGGTTTGTTCTTAACTCTATCTTCTACTTATCTTATCATACATGATTTGTTAAAATTATCTTCAAAACTATTTTGATGTAAATTATATACAGTTAAACCTGTCTATAGCGCCTTCCTCTCTATAGCGCCTGATTTTAAATACGTAGTACGATGCGATTTGCATTAAAAGTGGCCTGTCTATAGCACCCCCTCTCTATAGCACCCTATTTTGGTGAGTCCCAAGAGGGGCGCTATAAACAGGTTTAACTGTATGTGCCAAAAGTATATTCTTCTGCCCTCATTTTTATAAAAAACATACAGGCTTCCTTATTATGAAAATAGAGGTTGCCTGGCCGGCATTCATATTTCTTTAAAAATAGACACTTCGGCCAGTTAAAGTTTTATTTTTTCAACGTTTCAACAAAAATATTTTGTCTTCGTCAGGGGAAATAAATAAAGTATTTGGCGAAGCGTTAAAAATTGTTCTTTTATTTTTAATAATCTTCAATTTGTAACGCCTTTACAAATGCTCCATTTTTATTTATTTCTCCTGACGAAGACAAAATATTTTGGTTGAAACGTTGAGAAAATGAAACTTTGACTGGCCGAAGTGTCTATTTTCAAAAGTTTCCTTATGTTTAAATTTCATAAATGTTAAAAGAGTGAATATTTATAGGAATTTTTATCAAAACAATGTTTGTGTTTCTCTATTCAAAAGCTAAGTTCCGTGTCATGGAGTCCCCAGGTTGACAACATTCTGTCTGTGCGCAGTCGTCCATATGGAGTGTCATTCCCAACTTACTTCGCTGTATCAGCGGCGCCTGCATTGCACCTTCCTAAGCTCTTCGTAGATAGGCTATGTAAATAGAGAACTAATGTTTCAAATAAATTATTTGTTTCCTTTTTTAGAAGATGTGGTTGTTGTTTTTATTTATTCATTTTTGCTGTGTGCCTATATTAATCAATATTTTTGCGATGAATTAAAATGTAAAATGATATGATCTAGAAATCGATCAGGATATTGTGCGAAAACATTGCGTTACAAACTACCTAAAACATGGGTACTCCTGGAGATGGTCACAGAGGCAGCTCAAAAACATGGGTACTCCTGGAGATGGTCACAGAGGCAGCTCAAAAACATGGGTACTCCTGGAGATGGTCACAGAGGCAGCTCAAAAACATGGGTACTCCTAGAGATGGTCACAGAGGGAGCTCAAAAACATGGGTACTCCTGGAGATGGTCACAGAGACAGCTCAAAAACATGTGTACTCCTGGAGATGGTCACAGAGACAACTCAAAAACATGGATACTCCTGGAGATGGTCACAGAGACAACTCAAAAACATGGGTTCTCCTGGAGATGGTCACAGAGACAGCTCAAAAACATGGGTACTCCTGGAGATGGTCATAGAGACAGCTCAAAAACATGGATACTCCTGGAGATGGTCACAGAGACAGCTCAGAAACATGGATACTTCTGGAGATGGTCACAGAGACAGCTCAGAAACATGGGTACTCTTAGAGATATATATTGTGAGAATAAATAAAAGAATGTTGTCGAACATTATAGCGCGTGGTAATCAGTTAATCAGTTTTCACTTTATATAATTTACATTAGGTAGAGTCAAAAATATATGTATATTGAAATATAGTTTCTCTTTTTTTTTTTTCAGCTTTGCATGGTAAAACTTTAATAAAGCTTATAGAACTGGATGACGTTCTAGACATATTAATAAAACAGTAGGGATATTGTGTCTAGTTTTATTATAAGAATGCATTATTAACAAACATGTAGCAATACAGCATTGTATTTTCTTATCTCACAAAATAAGGAAGTTAGTACGATGTTTTACTTTTTCAAAGGGAGTCGGTGGAAGGATGCTCTAAACCGTTGGTTTTCGACCGCTACGGCCCAGGTTCGATTCCTGCATTGGGCCCTTTTTTCTGATAAAAAAAATGCTCCAATGGCCCCCGATTCTTGAAAGAGTCCAACCCCACTAGCGAGTGCAAGTAACCAAACGGTGCTCTGGTATATTTGTAAGTGCAAAGTCGAGCTGCTTTTCACATGTATAGAAATGTGGCAAATGGCCTGTACCACGTGTAAAAAAAAAACTTTTCAAATTCTTGGGTCTAATTTCTTTCCGTTCTAACCATCATTTTTATATAACAATATATGTTGAAAAAAGAGATTAGAAAGAGCTTAAAAAAAGAGAAAGATTGTCAAGAAAATAATAAGGGCCCCAATGGCTTGTAAGGAGCAGTATCAGTATAAAGGATTTCAATATAGAAAATAAAAACGATTCAATAAAAAGACAAGCATTCAACTTCTCTACGAATAATCATAAAAACTTGAAAACATAAGCTATCTCTTCCAATAAAAGCTTGCAACTATAAACAAGAAATGAAGAAAAAGAACCCCAAACCAAGGAAACTTCTCTATCAGCTGAAACAAAACGAAGACAAAACCTCCAAAACAAAATAAATTAGGAAAGCAGCTAAATACAGAATTAGAGTTCCTAAATCATAATTTCTAATCAAAATTGCTATTTAAAAAAAAAATTAGAAAAGTTTATAGATTAAAATGGCAAAACCGCTGGGAGAATTCTCCATTGATGAGCCAAGCCTTCTCTCAGTCAATTTTATTCATTGCAGTATAAGTCTTTAGATTTATAATTAATTTTTCAAATAACGCGTTTAAAATTATTTGTAATTTTCAGCGATAGATGGCGTTAACATTGATGATGATGATATTTAAAATATAGCTATAGTTCTGCAACAAAAAGTATATTCCTATTGGAATTCGCTATAATATCAGGTTTTACTGTAATAATATACACACACAAGCCTTTATTAAGACATTCCGTCTTATACAGACGATTCTTCTGTTAAAAATGAATCTGAAAAGAAATGAGAAGCAGGGGAAGAAACTGAATCCTCGCTCATAAAAGATAAAAAGAAGAAAAGAATATCTATGCACAAAAGTTGAGACTATATACATCGTTTTTCGTGCATAGAACAATGATTGGTTGCAATTGGTAAATGGTTGCATCTTGTGAAGAAGAAAATATTTCCACACAGTTCAGTTACTTTGTTAGGTC